TCCTTTTCCATTTGGCCAATTTTGCTTTTTAGGGCATTCTTCTCCTCATTGGCTTTTTGGACCTCTTTTGCCATTTGGGTTAGGCTATTTTTTAAGGTGTTATTTTCTTCAGTATTTTTTTGGGTCTCCTTTAGCAAGCTGTTGACTTGTTTTTCATGATTTTCTTGCATCACTCTCAGTTTTTCCTCTACTTCTCTTACTTGCTTCTCAAAATCCCTTTTGAGCTCTTCCAAGGCCCGGGACTGATTCATATTTTTCTTGGAGGCTTTGGATGTAGGAGCTTTGGCTTTGTTGTCTTCTTCTGGTTGTTTGTTTTGATCTTCTTTGTCACCACAGTAAGATAATATAGTCTGACTCTTTTTGTGCTGCTTAGTCATGATCCCAGCCAATTACTTGAGTTTTAAACTCTTTGTTAAGGTAAAAGTCTGCTTCCAATGTGAAGAGTGTACTGTCCCAAGCTTCGGGGGTTTGTACAGCTGTTTTCAGAGGTACTTCTAGGGACCTGTAAATTTTCAGTTCTTCCAAGGTGGTATGATAAGGGGCGAGGTGTTTTCTCTCCACCACCACAACAAGCTCCACCTCACCCCAGGACCGCCCCTCAGAACTTCAACCCAGATCCAAGCACAGGCAAAGCAAGAGATTCCTGCCTCAGCACTGGCAAAGAGATCCTTGGGATTCCCCTCTGATCAGCCACTTGATTCCCCCTCAGTCTGTGGGCCACAAGCTCAGGAAAAAGCTGCAGCCCCGGGCCACGCTCCAGACTTGCAGCTGAGACCTAGCTCCTCTCTCACCACAGTTGCAGACTTTTCCCACTGACGTTCTAAGTTGTCTTTGGCATTCAGGGGTTGAGAAGTCTGGAAACCACCACAGCTGCCCATGATTCAGTCCTCTGAGGCCTGCTCCACGGTCGCTGCGGCCTGTGCGCCCACGCCAAACTGCGCTCCTCTCCACGCCTGATGCGATATACCTTTCCGATCAACCATCCAGGCTGTCTTTGACTGGAAATTTGTTTCACTCTGTCTTTTTGTGGGTTCTGCTGATTTAGAATTTGTTTAGAGCCATTTTTTATAGGTATTTGGAGGGCTTTGGGAGAGAGCTCAAGACAGTCACTGCTTTCCCTCCGCCATCTTGGCTCTGCCCCTACTTTTGGTTATTATTAAAGATGGTACTTCCATGTCTTTCATTTTTAGAGTTTTCAACATGAGTGCTATAATTTGTGGAATAAACATGAGGTTTTTGTTTATTTTTATATAGTTACGTCAGGGTTTTTTTTTTTTGTTTGTTTGTTTTATGTTGAACCATCCTCACACCCTTGAATGAGTCTGTCTTGATCATTGAGAATTACGGTTCTGATATATTTCTGAATTAATTGAATTTCATCTAATTTTTCATATCAATATTCATTGGTGAGACTGATCTATAGTTTCTTTATATATTTGGATGGGCCTTCCTGATTCCAAATCCAGCACTCTATCCATTATGCCAGGGTATTTTGCCTACATGTTAATATATAGGGATTGGAAATGGATCTGTGATTTCATTGATATAGGGAACCCCAAGGTGAACAAAGTATTTCTTCCCTTATAGGTTGGCACCTTCTTTGCAGTTTATAGTCTTAGAGAATCGCCTAGTGTAGTGGTGTCAAACTCAAATAGAAACAGAGGCCATTGAATCATACATAAGGAAAACCACATATCAACATTATTTGTGCTCTCTATTGATCAGAGAAATGCAAATTAAAACAATTCTGAGGGACCACCTCTCACGTATCAGAGTGGCTAATATGATAAAAAAGGAAAATGTTGGAGGGGATGTGGCATAACTGGAACACTAATGCACTGCTGGTGGAGTTGTGAACTAATCCAACCATTCTGGAGAGCAATTTAGAACCCTAATTGCGCTCTCCTGTCTTATTGCCAATAATGCCTTTCGAAAATCCAACCAAGAAGCGGTCCATCTGCCTCCTGATTCCCATTCATGTGTTGCTGAAAGAAGCAGTAAAAAGTCCTGCAACTCTGCTGACTGGATTTTCTACCTAATTTCAATGGGATCCTCAGTGCAGATCTTTAAAGCAAATCTTTAAACCATCTCTCATTGATTCCCTAATCCACTTCTCAGAGCTGCTGTTCCAAGCTTTTACTTCTGTCCTCAAACCTCCTACACTAACCTCTGCTGCCCAGTTTCACAGCTGAGGCATTTTTTTTTTTTTGTATTTTACTGGGGGAAAAAAAAGTGAAGCCATTTGCCATGAGCTCCCTCTTCTTACCTTCTCTACAGCTCAGACACCCTTGACATCATCACCTAGTCCAGGGTGGGGAACCTTCAGCCTTAAGGCCACACAGGGCCTTCTTGGTCCTTGGGTTTGGCCTTTTGACTGAGTCCAAGTTTTACAGAACAAATCTTTTTATTAAGGGGATTTGTTCTGTGAGGTTTGGATTCAGTCAAAGGGCTGTACTTAAGGACCTATAGGGCCACATGTGGCCTTGAGGCTGCAGGTTCCCTACTCCTGAGGTCCTAGTCTCTCTTTTACTCCAAATTCTAGAGGTAGCTCTTCTCTCCATCAAAGCTAACCCCTTCATATGCACCTTTCATCCCATCACCTCTCATCTTCTCCAGCAAATTATATTGACAGTCAACCTCTCTTTACCTTAATCTCCAAACTCCCTGTTTCCTAAAAACATGCTTTCTCAAAAAACTCTTTCTAGGTTCTATCATCTCTCCAACTCAATCTATCATCCTATATTTCTCTAACATTTCTCAGCCAAACTCCAGGAAAAAGTCGTTTATACTCTCTTTGCATCCACTTCTCCCCTCACTTTTTTTCTCAAGTCTTTGCAATCAGGCTTCTGACCTCATCACTTCATTGAAAATGCTCCCTGCACATGTCCTCTTCCCTAAAAGAACCTAAATTCTCTGAGGACAGAACAATTTTGCTTTTGTCATTAGTTTCCTAATGCCTACTTAGCACAGTTAATGCCCCGCACAAAATTATGTTTTTACCCTAGCTGTCCCCTAAGCCTAGAATGCACTCCTTCCTCAGCTCTGTCTGAAAATTCCCAGATTTTTTCACAAGATTCAATTCAAACATCACAGGAAGCCTTTCCATCCCTTCCCCCAAGTCATTCAACAAACATTTATCAAAATATTCTATGTCAGGCACTGGGCTAAGTGCTAGGGAATTGTAGAAAGGTAAAGACATTGCCCCTGCCTTTCAAAGGAGAGTGGTGCAGGTTGGGGTTTTGGGAGACAACATGGAAAGTGATCTCAGAGAGAAATCATTAAGTGGAGGTTGAGGGGAAGACACTGAATGGGAAAAGGCCAGCTGGAGAAGGTGGAAATTGAGCTAAGCTTTGAAGGGAACCAGCCAGGCCAGAGGTAAGAAAGCAGAGCATTGTAGTCTTGCTAAGGGGGCCAGCCAGGGAAAGACCAGAGTTGGGAAATGGAGTGTTTTGTGAAAGAAACAAGTCACTGCTGTAGCAGTTGGATCATAGTGCCTGGAGAGAAGAAAAATTTAATAACAGAAGGGTAAGAAGTGACCAGGCTGTGAAGATGTTTCCTTTAATAATCCCATATAAATACAGATTGTTGCCTCTCACTAGATTGTAAACCCCTAAAAGGCAGAGACTTTCTTTCACTTTTATCTACCAAAGTGTTTTGACATATATTAGGTGCTCAAATGATGGCTTTCTTGATTGAAATCAGAAGTTCCACTGTGTTCAAATCTAAATTAAATTTTATCTACAATTCCTAAAGAAAAACATTATCCAAATTGTAAGAACAATATTGTCAAGAACTGATGAACTGAGTGCATATCGAAGCATACTTTTTCCACTTTTTCTTGCTTGTGTTTTCTTTTGCAACATGGCTAATACAGAGATACTTTTTACATGACTTCACATGTATTAATGATATTATGTTGCTTGCCTTTTCAAGGGGTGCGGGAGAGGGGTGGGAGGGAGAGAATTTGGAACTCAATTTTTAAAGATCAAAGTTAAAATGTTTGTACATGTAATCGGGAAATACTTAAATAAAATTAAAAAACCCCAGTGGCAGAAATGTGCATCCCCACAAATTTGCTATATCAGTTTCATAGTATCTCTATTACAGATAGAGTGGAAAGGCAGGGTGGGTGGTACATTTTGCATTTCTCCATCTCTGGAATAATTCTTTTTCTTCGTGGTTAAATTTTTTTTTTCTTGTGTAGTTCTATTAGGAGAAAAAGGGGGGAAGGGAGAAGTCTCCTGGATGAAAAAATTTAAGAAAAAAATCTTTTAATTGGTGTATTATTTATTATATATTCAAATGACTCGAGGTACCTAAAAATCTATGTACTATGTCTATTGGGACTCTTAACTCTTAAGCTCTCTAACTCCTTGTTTTTCCGATTTAGCCCCCACCCCCACAAAAAAAAAAGTTTTCTATGGCCTGGGAAACTTTCATGAGCTCCAGGGTTCCTCGAAGTTTAAGTCACCGCAGCTCCAAAGTGTCCAAAGAAAAAGGGAAAAAACCCAAACCTGGAGACTTAGAAGCTCCGCGCCTCCGGGGTGGGAGGGGCTGAGGGCGTGGCAAAGAGCACAAGCCTTGTGTGGGTGTGTGGGTGTGTCAGCGTGTTTACCCGAGGGGTGGGCCTCGTATTTCAGGACCGGCAGCTTCGGCTCCTTCGGCCTTCAGACTTGGTTTTGATCATCCACACGCTTTCGCGCGCGCGGCTTTTAATGAGCCCAAGGCCAAACACTCGGCCTTACTTACGTCACTTGGGAAGGCGGTCAAAGCCCCCTGTCAGAACCGGGGTGTGGCGGCGTCCGCTGGGTCACACACGCGCACACTCGGCGCCGGGCCGGTGGAAACGAGTGTGCACGAGCGCGCCACGCCCACCCCGCCCTCCTCCCCCCAGCCCCCGCCTGGCTGGCGAGCTCTAAAGCGAGCAAGGTCAGTCAGCCGCCCCAGGCTTCCCTCCCCCACGCCACCACCGCGCCTGCGCTACCTCGCTCGCAGCCTCTTCCGGCTGGGGCGGGGAGGGGGGCGGGACGCGGGGGAGGCCCCAGTCCCCGCAAGCGTCCGAGGGCGAGGTAAGGGGAACGCTGGGAGGGGGGTTGTCAAGGGACCCGCGCGCGCGGGCCGCGGGGCCGTTAGGTGCGCGCAGAGGGGAGGAGCAGGAAGAGATCTGGCCCGAGGACTTGGCTGAGCAGGGGCGGGGTGGCTGACTTCGGCCTTCCCTGCTAGGACCAATGCCCCCTCCCCCCGGCGGGGACTGAGCTAAAGAAGTAACTAATTTTAGGATTTCGGTTTCTATCTTGAGGGAGCTTTGTAGAGGCTTGACAAAAGGCACCGGAAGTGGTTTTGACGCGCCCCCCCCCGCCTCGGGGGCGGGGCGGTTGAGCTTGTGACGTAGTGGAGTGTCTCGAGATAGACATCCTTCTTTCCCTTTCCCTGTGACGTAATGGAGTGACACGTGTGGGGAATTGTTGGGGACAAGCACTGGGTGCGTGGGTGGTGAAATCCATGTGCCCTGTCACTAGTGAAGTCAATGGAACTCTCTCAGAGAGAAAGGGAAAAGATAAGTGACAGGAGACTCTATGCGTGTGTCCCCTGAGGGAAGACCATGATGTGGTGGCTTCGTGTGGCCTCCCTGGAGATGACTGAAAAAGACCTGGGTGGGAAATCAGCCCTAAAAATACGCCTCTGATAGGAAATCTGGTAGACTGCCTGTAACGGAGAAATGTGGTAAAGGACGGCGATGGGGATGTGACAGTTGTAAAGGAGAGTTGGGATTCTGTGGGATGTTGATATTTGGTGAAATATAGAACTACGAAGGAGTTTTCATTGGCATCAGCACATTGTACAGGGGAGAGAGCACAGAGACTCCCTAGTTAGAGGACTTGGGTCTAAATCCCACTTCTACCCATTATTTTTGTGACAGTGGGCAAGGCAGTATTTAATTTCACCCTCACTTTTTTCCTCTAATGTTTCCTGTGTTTAGCATTCAAAACCCTTCATAATCTAGCCGCTTTCTACCTTCCTAGACTTTTTAAACTTAACTGCTCCCTGACAAGTACCCTTGGATCCAGTGACTCGGGCCTCCTGGCTGTTCTATGAACAAGACCTTCCATTTCCCAGCTCTAGGCATTTTCTCTAACTGTTCATGCCTGGAACAGCTCTGTCAACTGACCCTTCTTGGCTTTCTTTAAGTTCCCAGTAAAAACCTTTCTTTTACAGGAAGCCTGTCCCAACCGCTCTTAGTTCCAATGCCTTCTCTCTGTTAAATATTTTCTATTTGTCCTGTGTATATCTTATTTTGTATATATTTGTTTGTTAATCTCACTCATTGGATTTTAAGGTCCTTAAGGGTAGGGACACTCTTCTGCCTTTTTGTATCCCTATTGCTTAGCATAGAGGCTGGCATATAATAGATGCTTAATAGAAGTTTAGATTGATATTAAAATTGTTAAATATAACCACTATGTCTTAGAATTTGTAGTATAGGATTTTTTCTTAGAGATGATCTGTGGATTCTTTACAACTGTTTTCTGTATTCTTAAGTGCCCACAAGTTTTGGGCACTTGTCTTTGTATTGCTTCATGCATTATGGTTTTCTGGTTTTTGACTTATATTCTTCTAGAAGAACTCTGATTCTTAGATTGTCTCTGCAGCCTATCTTCAAGATCAGTGTGTTTTCAACATGACTACTATGGAAATGTTTTACATGACTACACGTGTATAACCTGTATCCAGTTGTTTGCCATCTCAACGAGGGTGGGTGGGGAGGGAGGAAGGGAGAGAATTTGGAACCCAAAGCTTTAAAAACAAATGTTAAAAATTGTTTTTACATGAAACTGGGAAATAAGATATACAGGCAGTGGGGTATAGAAATCTGTCCTGCCCTATAGGAAAATAGAACAGGAAGGGGATAAAAGAAGGGGGGGAGTGACAGAAGAGAGGGCAGATTAGGGGAAGGGGTACTTAGAATGCACGCTGGTCTTGAGGTGGGGGGAGGGGTGAGATGGGAAGAAAATTTGGAACTCAAAATCTTGTGGAAATGAATGTTGAAAACTAAAATAAATTAAAAAAATTAAAAATAATTTTAAAAAGATCAGTGTGTTTTGCTTGCATAGAGATAGAGGTCATTGCATTTTGCTTCTCTCAGATTGACCTTCATTTCATTATATTTATGTTCTTAATCATTTGTTCTCTATTTTGCTTCTTAGATTCAAGTTATTCTGTTTTGCTTTGTAGGTCATAAATTCTGCTATTTATTCCCTTTTAATACCTGCCTTCAAGATTCTTGTTTCTCTCTTTTTTTTTTTTAAGGCAGTTGGGGTTAAGTGACTTACCCAAGGTCACACAGCTAGTAAGTGTCAAGTGTTTGGTCTGAGGCCGGATTTGGATTTGAACTCAGGTCCTCCTGACTTTGGGGCCCGGTACTCTATCCACTGCGCCACCTAGCTGCCCCTCTTGTTTCTCTCTTGAACAATTTGGGAACATCTCAATTTGGTTCCATGCTCTTTTTGGAATCCATAGGCTCTTTTGCTTCATTAGGTGTTAGTTCAGTTTCTTTTCTTTTACAATATTTATTTAGAGATATTTGAACTCATTTAGATGTCTTGGTGGCCATCTTCCCTTCTGTTTGAATATGGCCCCTGTTGAATTATCAGTTTGTGCTCTAGGTTTTTGACCAAAATTTCTTCATTCTCAGATTTTTGGTAATTTCATTTTTTCCCTTCCTTATCTATCACTTACTTCCTGACTCCCTCTTTGATGAAGAATCCCTTGGTGGCTGTACTTCAAAGTTATTTCAGTGTCCTCCAGGGTTGGGAAATTCACTCTTCAACAGCTTCAGCCTCTACCCTGAAGTGATTTCTTTGGGGACAGAACTGACCCCAGCTGGATGTCAGTCCCCTTTTTTTTTTTCCAGTCCCTTTTTCTTTGGGCCTGTAATAGCCTGACTTACATTTGACACCAGCCTCAGGAGCAGCTTGTTTGCCTGTACCCACTCATCTACCGGCCGCCCTCCACAAGGGGGTGGACAGAGTTGAAGTCTGTTGCTTACTGCCATCAGATGGATGGAGTGAAAGTAGAGATAGAATACATTGTCAGAGACTATAGCAGCATCAAGGAAATTGCTGAGTGGATCCCAAGAACATAAGCTGGTAGGATGGTTTGTGCTGCCCTGCCAGAGCATAATAGGGGCTGGTGGGGTAAAGGATGCTGAATGAGTGAGTTAGGGTGAGGGATTAGATGAGGGATTAATTTATTGGATTGTTACCTTGTTAGATTTCTTAGTATCTTGGCTTGAGGAGCCATCAATAATTCCTTACTTCTTGCTCATAATTCTTGTATCGAGGAGTTTTGAGATTTCATTAGGACTGGGGAAAAAAAGTCTAGTCTTCCATCTTGTTGGTTATATCTATGACACACTTTGAAGGAAATAATAAAAGTATTTATGTAGTAGTGTCATTGTAATAAAGCCTCCTAAGTGGTTGCTTTATTGGAACAGACTCATTTGGATGTATTAGTTCTGATATGTTTATAAAAATCACTTATGTTACTTTAAATTTTTTCTTGTATATTATTATAATACTTTAGTATTTGCGTAGAGTCAAATTGAAAAGAAGTAGAAGACCATTAGCTCTCTTTTTGGTAGAAGTAGGGAACTTTGGATGTGGAACATTGCATAGACAATTAGATTTCGTTAATGTATTAGTTTTGCCGAAATACTTCTTTACCTCTTTTTTTATTCTTTATTACAAGGAATGGCTTGATAGAAGAGCAGGGAAAGGATATATTCAGACATTAGAAGTCCATGAGTATTAAGCAAGTACCATTTGCCAGGCACTGCGCTTGTTAGGATACAAAGACTCAAAAAAGAGAAAATAATCTCAAGATTATTTTACAAGAAGCTTATATTCTTTTACAAAGGAAGATAATGTACAAATAAACAATACCAATGTAAAATTTTACTTTAAATGAAAGACAGCATGTATTTCAGTCTTTAGTAATGTGAAGGTCAGATGAGGAAAGGCAATGATATGGAAATAATGACATCAATTCTGAATTCCCCCTACCTCAGGCCTTCATATCTTTAGCTGGGATGTACAAAGAAGTATAAGACAAAATCTTTGTAAAGACAGTCTCTGTACCTGGAGAGATCTAGTTTCACCTTTAGTGAATTAGTTTCCTTATCCAAAAGACAGAGAATAATACCTGTAGTATCTGTCAGGTCTATTGGGAAGCTAAAATAAGATAATGATGCATATAAAATACTTTACAATTCTTAAAATATTGTGCAGGTGTCAGTTTAAATAACTGATCTGGCTTTTCCAGGGCCCTTCTTGCCTTTCACCTGCTCTCCCTTCCAGTGTCTTTCTCCTGAAATTATCTTCTATCTGTTTTGTCTAACATTTTATGTACAACAGTTATTTACATATCCCCACTATTAAAAGTGAACTTCCAGGTGACAGAGCCAGTAGGGGCAGCTAGGTGAGGTAGTGGATAGAGCACCAGGCCTGGAGTCAGAAAGACCTGAGTTCAAATCCAACCTCAGGTATGTACTAGCTGTGTGACCCTGGGCAAGTCACTTAACCCTGTTTGCCTCAGTTTCCTCATCTGTAAAATGAGCTGGAGAAGGATATGGAAAACTACTTTAGTATCTTTGCCAAGAAAACCCCAGTTGGGGTCGTGAAGAGTTGAACATGACTGGAGCAACTGAACAATAAGAGTTAGCTTTTTCACCTATTTTAAACTGGCCCAAATTTTCACCAGCTAAGAATGTGTCTCCCATTTATCATGTTGTTGATAGGAAGCTAACTGCCCACTGCAGTATTGTTTTACCTAAAGTTGTCTTAGGATGGAATGATTAAAGATGTAGGTGAAACTTCTTAACTATACTAAGTACTCTTGAACTTGACCACTTTATAACTATTTCTATGGGAAAATACATCCAGAATACCAACTTGGTCCACTCCTGTCTCACCATTGCAGTGTAATCACAGTCTGATCCATCCCTCATTTCCCCTATATTTTGGGCAGGAGAATTTGGGGGAATAGCTAAAGAAATTATAGTATATAAAAG